TCCTCCTTTCTGGGCAGGGGTGAGGCGGGAGGGAGGAAGTGAGAAGCCGGGAGCTGTCCAGCATTTGCATTGCTGAGAGGAGAGAGCACAGGAGCCAGGCCCCGACTCCCAGGCGAGGCGGGGCAGTCTCCTGGCCCTCCTCAGGAGTTCATCTGGGCGTCTCACCTTGGAGACTACTCTCCCCACGTCCTGCACCGCAGGCCACCCCTCCTGCCACCCAGGTCGAGGTGCTCTGAAACACACAGTGACCAGACAGGTGCCAGATGATAGGACGGGAAGGTCTGCTGGTCCCTCAAACCCACGGCCACCCCAAGGGCCACCAATACTAAATCCCTAGTCTGACGCATCAGAGCGGAGCAGGGTCTGGATGGCACAGAACCGGTTTCACCCCGAGTCTAACGGGATGTGTGTTTTCCTGGTGTATGTTATTGCTCCACTCGGGTCCCTCTCCAGGCCATTCTCCTGGCTCCACCCAGAGCTCTCCCATGATGTCATGACTCTGCTTACAGTTCTGCAGTCTTCACTCCTTGGTGTGACCCTCGACGTCCTTCAAGAGCTGGCTTCACCGACCTCCACCTCCATCTGTCCCCGCTCCCAACCCCTTCATTGTCCAGCCATTCTAAGTGCCCCGCATCTATTTAACCCCTGACGCCAAGTTGTCAAAGGCAGCTCTGGGGCCGGTAGCAGGGACAAGCATTCCAAACAAAGGGAACAGCGTGTGCTAAGTCCTGCTCCTCTGCAAGAGTCATCACAGGAATCCCTTCCTAAGGAAGACCCCCTCTGGCTGACCGCCTCTCCCTGGAGCCCGTCACTCACCATCCCTGTGATACCTCTGTGTACAGAACGTGATCCTGCTCCGACACCCAGGCAAGAAATTACCCTGCAAACATGTCCCCCTAGAAGGTGAGCTCGCACTTTGTGAGGTTTTATCCATTTTGTATCACTAGCACCTGCCTGCATGTGAGCAAGCAAAAATAAACAGAAGAGCCAGGTGTCTTTTTTTTTTTTTTTTTTGCCTGGGGACTTGGTTAATAGAGCCTGGTGTGTATAGAAAGAATAACAGTTATAATAATAATGTGTGATAATAACGGCTAATTCCTCTGTGCCTGGCACCTGCGAAGTGTCATATATATGTGAACTCACCACGCCCATATGATAATCATCAAAACCACCCCGAGGGAAGCATCGTCACTGGGTCCATTTCACAGAGGAGGGAAAATGAGGCACAGCAGGTAAGTATCCCTGCCCGGAGGCAACAGAGCCAGAGAGCAGCAGAGCAGGGAGGCCAAGCCAGACAGTCTGGTTCAGAGTCTGGGCCCTTGTCCGTCTCGCCAGCTGCTTCTCTAACGAAAGGGGACCTCAAGGTAGAAGAGGTAAGGACGGTCTCCCCGAGAGCCAGGAGGATCCTGGTGTTTACTCTGTTCTCCACGTCAGCAGAACCTAAAGCCCCTACCAGGGTTATCTCAGGGAACGTGGGCATCCACACCAACCCAAGGGTGCCAAGCCCCAGCCTCAGCAGCAGAAACTGGCAGGACTGCACCCTCACAGCTGGGAACAGCCCGCCTCGGGGCCCTTCTCTTTGTCCCCTCCACCAGCCCCCCCAGCACCCCCCTACTCTCCCCAGCTGCCAAGACCCTGCCTCCCACCCCCCTGCACCTGGCTGCCCCTGGCAGGCAGCCCCAGACCCCTCCTGGAGGAGAAGCTTCCCCCAGCTCCGAGCAGCTGCCAGGCCATGCCGGAGCCGGCAGGCATCTTCTGGGCACCACTTGCCGCCCCGCCAAGCCTGGCACGCCAGCGGTTCCACGTTAGGTCGATGGCCCTGCACAGCCCCACGGAGCTGCTATTTTTAATTTAATTGGAGAGTCGGAGGAGAAAGATGGTACCCAGCGAGAGAGTTTTAAAAGCTTTCGGGGTGGGGGAAGGGGGAGAGAACGCGAAGAAAAGTTCGTAATTATACACCAGGCAGCCAGATTTGATGCTTGAACAGAAAGGTTAAATGTTACATTCAGAATAAAATGAGAAAAAGTCCTGATGACAGTTGCCCAGAGCTAAATAAGGAGGAAAAAAAAATACCCCTTGCCCGTCTCTTCTCCAGCTTCTTCTTCTCCCTCGTACTCATTGCTGAGCATCCCCCCTTCTGCCTTTGAAAGCTCGGGAGCGTACAAATAAACCAGTTTGGAGCACAAAGATCACTACTCAGCATGTCAACACTTGATTGCCACCCAAAAGCAGCTTTCACTCAATGCCTGAAAAAATCTCACATTTTCATCTCTCAGCCCAATAGGACTAACGAGGCCCGGAGAATTGGGATGGCCGTCTGGCACTGCAGGGAACCACATGGGCTTTAGTACGGATGCACCCAGGTTCAAATGCCTCCTCTGCCAAGGGACAGATGCACCAAGCCATAAACCGACGACTGCTGGTTAAGACTTTCCTGTTATAGAGATAGACGGCACGCTCCTTTCGTCCTTCCTTTTCCAGCAGGGGATGTAGACGAGATGCCTGGAGCTGCTGCCGTCATTTTGTGCTCCCAAGCACCACGCTCAAAGTGCAAAAACTGAAAGACAGAAAGGGTCCTCGATGATGTAGACATGCCACTGTTCCACAGGGCTGTGGGCTTGTTGCCTGGGACAAAGAAATCCCCGTTTGTTTTAGCCACTTTTGGTCTAGTTTTCTTTTTTTTTTTTTAAGATTTTATTTATTTATTCATGAGAGACACAGAGAGAGGCAGAGACACAGGCAGAGGGAGAAGCAGGCTCCCTGCGGGGACCCCGATGTAGGACTCGATCCCAGGACCTCGGGATCAAGCCCTGGGCCAAAGGCAGATGCTCAACCACTGAGCCACCCAGGTGTCCCTGGTCTAACTTTCTAGAAATGCTGAATCCATTCCTAACTGTGACAATCCTTTATGAACCTGAGCTTGAGTGTGAGCGTGAGCAAGAACTTCACATCCCTCAGCTTTGGATTTCCTACGTGTAAATGGGGACAAATATCACTCATAGTGTGCGTGCGAGGATTAAATGGGACTCCATTCGTAAAGCACGATGGCTCCCTTGTCATTTATACTCCTGGCTGACAGGAAAGCAATATCAAATTGTAAAATTTACAGTCACCCCTCCTCTCTGAATCGCACTTTCTAGTTTTCAAAGAGCCTTCTCTTTCTTCATCTCAGCTCACCCTCAACCCCAAATCCCTGAGAGGAAGAAGTATTATTCCCTATTTTATGCCCAGCAGATTCAACAGAGGTTAAGCAACCTGCCCAAGGTAGCTTAGCTGAGGATGAGGCCAGCCTGTAACTCAAATCTGACTCCGAGTCCCTGGGGCCCAGGCCAGGCTGGCTCTGAACTGTTCTCCTACAGGCCCCACTTCTCCTCCTGGGGACCACCGATGCCTCAAGTTGGGGGATATCGCTGTGGCCGAGCCAGCGTGGCTCATGTGACAAAGACAACGTGGGCTGGACTCTGGCCTCCAAATTCCCCCTCCTGTCCCTGAAACCTCAGGGTTCCTTGGGCTCCAATCTTCCACCCACTGCACTCGTACCTCCACGAACATGAGGAGACCAAGAGCCCTGTTCAGAAGCGGCCGTATAACACAGTGGTTTTGAACACGCACTGGATTTGAACCCCACTTTTGCCACCTACCAGGAAAAAAAAAAACTTAAGTAAATTATTCTCTCTGTATTAGTCAGGGTAAGCAAAACAGCTGCTGTAACAAACAACCCCCAAATCTCAGTGGCTGAACATGGCAGATTTTTCTTCATGTCCCAGGGCAGTGCAGTGGGTGGGGTAGGGTGGGGTGGGGTGGGGGTGTCCACGTGCCACCCATCCTCCTTCCATATGCAGCTCTGTCCCTCCCACGTTAGATCCTCTACATCCTGCAAGCTGATCGGGCTATTTTAAGGGTCAGGCATTTGCTCAACTGTCCAGAACCTATGGTACGGTCACACGCCCCTACCTAACTCTCAGGGACGGGGTGTGTGCTGGGAAGTGTAACCTCATGGTGTGCCAGGGAAGAAGGGGGTGGTCATCCATGGTCTCCAGTGGTCTCCTCTCAGGCGACCTCATCAGAAGTAGGCAGCCCCCACCCCCCAGATCACGTGACCTCATTCCATTTGTTTGTCACCATAAATAGATTTCCTTCTTTACTGCCTATGTACCTCCCCAGTGGACTGCGACCTCCTTGAAATGAGGAACCTCAGGTATCTTTCACCCCAGATTTCCTACAATACTTATCAAATAGAATATGGCGCTAGTGGAAACTCAAACCTTAACAGAATATTGGGACACCTGGGGTGGAGAGAGAGAATGTAATGTGGTGGAGGAAGAACGGGAGGCTCCAGGCCCTTGTCGATCCCACTCAGGGGGTCCCCGAAGGCTGCCCCGGCCCCACCCCGGCCCTCGTGTGCACACACTCCCTGTGTCTCCCCCAGAGACTGTCCGTCCCGGAACAGAAGCCAACACAGATTCCAAAGAAGTTGTTTATTTTCATCTGTAAAACAAGACGCTGGCCACAGAAGGGAGGGTCCTCGGGCTCACCGGTGGCAATTCCTCCCTGACCAGAGTGAATGTGTAAAACTAGAAACTTCATCTCTCTCCATCCCACCTCATCAACTAGTCAAAAATAACTGGGACCCCAGCAGAAGGTCCCATCTCTCTCACCCCAGGTTAAAACCTACCAAACTGAGGACAGGGCGGCCCCAAGGAAGATGCCAATGAAAAGTCAGGGGCTATAACGGAGATGTTAACTGACCGCTCCCCTCCAAATGACAGGCCACCCCTGGAGAAACTGTCCCCGAGGGACTTCCGGGGATAACACCCTGTCCTCCTCTGGGCTGGATCCTACTCTTGAAACAAGATAAAACCCTAGAACCTAAAACACCCCTCATGACCTCAGAATTCCAAAGCCAGCTAACCCTACCTCTGCCTGCCCAGCCCCATCACTGAAAACTAATCCACCTGAGCCCCTGGGATGGGGACAGGGTCCCAGGAGCCGCCACCAGGTCACGGCCTCTGGCTCTCTTCATACTCCTCTTTGCTCATCCACTCGGACTTGTAGGAAGACAGATGGGCCACAACAGACGCTCCTAGCCAGACGCTAAAGTTTCTGTTGGAACCCACCCACATGGTGGCCTTGGCGGAGGAGAAGTGATCTGCGGTCAGCTCCTTGTACAGGCGCTTGGTGAAGCCGGGGTACAGGGTGTTGCCCCCGCAGGCCATCACGTGGGAGGTGAGCAGCGGGTGCAAGGTGGCCTCGCAGCCCAGGATGGCATCCACCGCGACCTGAGAGATGCTGGGCCCCTGCAGGTCAAACACCTGGGGGCTGAAGAACATCTCGGGGGCCAGCCGCTGCATGGGGGTCAGCTCCACCGGGGTGCCATCGGGGAGCTGGTAGGTGTTGTTCTCATCTGAGCCGCTGGGCAGACTCTGGCGGAAGTCTAGCGCCTCCCCCAAATTCTGCGGCACGTAGCACTTGCTCATCTGGGTGGTGGCCACCGTTTCCAGCTGAAACAGGTTGTGGCGATTGCAATCCTCCTTAAAGAGGCTCCTGAAGAGATAGGCCGACAGATCCTGGCCCGCAAACTCCAGCGTCTTGCGGCTGGACCGTAAGGGGCGGCCCAGGTGGAAGGGCTGCACGCGGGTCAAGCCGTAACCCGAATCAACCACCACGCCCGTCAGGAGGCCGGAGGCGTACAGGGACATCTCCAGCTGGTCGGCCAGGAGTATGGACGGCACGTCCAGCAGCTCAAACATAATCTGTAAGAAGGGAGAAGAGCCACTAGGGTATTTCGCCCCAAACCAAAGGCCTTGATATATTTTTTAAAGATTTTATTTATTTATTCTTGAGAGACACAGAGAGACAGGCAGAGACACAGGCAGAGGGAGAAGCAGGCTCCCTGCAGGCAGCCTGATGCGGGACTCGATCCCAGGACCCCGGGATCACGACCTGAGCTGAAGGCAGATGCTCAACCCCTGACCCACCCAGGTGTCCTGGCCCCGATGCATTTCTGTTTTCTGTTTTCCCTGAGACTCAGCTACATGCTTAGCTCTCAGAACTGCAGTCGGTGCACACCTGTGTCCCCAAGGGACTGGGGAGCTGCCCCGAGGAGATGGGGCACAGGTCTCCTGGAGCTCATGCTGTGGGAACAAAGGAGGCTCTAGAGGATTAGCAGTCGGATTTGGGATTTGCCCTCGGGAGTTTGTTTGAGGACCACCACCGTCCAGAAGATTGTTTTGGTGGCAAGGTGGGAAGAGCTGTCAGCTGCATGTATGAGATGGTCCCAAGATGCCTGGTTGTGCGGGCGGTGGGGGACCAGTGGGGGCCATGGCCAAGGGACAGACCTGCAGCCTGACCCATTTCTTTAAAAGAGGGAAAAAGAAATCAGACAAGAAACAAGTGCATCATATCTACCACTGCCTCCAAAAGTCGGGGTGGGAGGAGGGAGGGAAGGAGGGAGGGAGCCTGGGAGGGAGGGAGAGAGGGAGGAGGGAGATACATATTCTCACCTCCTGGTAAGTGAAGCCTTTTTTCCCCCCACACATCAAGACAAAACTGGAATTCTGACATTTAGGTTTTGGCAAAGTCCCTAGGCTGATTTTTCTCCCACACCCATCACCCCCCCCCCGATCTTCACTGAGCAACCCCACCACCTTCCTAATTCCCCAGCTCTGACTGCATCCCCATATCTCTGACCCTATAGACACAGAAAGGCAGCACTAGTCCGCCCTTCCATGGGGGCCACCTCTTCGGACCCCACAAGGCCCATCTTCCCCACTGAGTGGGGAAAGGAGCTCCCCATCCCCCCACAACGCAGAATATTGTCCCACCACTAGCCACTTCCCAAATAGAAGCCAAGGCCCTCTTTTTCAAATAGGAAATGAAATATGAATCCCACTTAAAACTCTCCAGGATCTTCCGATTTATTTAGAGCAGGGGTTGGCAAGCATTTTCTACAAAAGCTAGACAGTTGGGGTGGCCAAATTTAGCAAATAAAAATACAGGCTGCCCAATTAAATTTGACTTTTTGACAAACAACAAATAACATTTTCATATACGTGTGTCCCATGAGATACTCGGGACCTGCTTATACTAAAGTATTATTTGTTGCTTATCTGAAATTCAGCTCTAACCGGGCACCATGCGTTCTGTCTAGCAAACCTACAGTAAGTTTTTTAGCCCTTACACAGCCTATACGCAGTCCCTGCCGCAACCACCCAGCTCTGCTGCTGTGGTGTGAAAGTAGCCAAAAACGATATGGAAATGGGTGGACACGGCTATGTTCCAATAAAACTTTATTTATAAAAACAGATGGTGGGCCAATGTGGCCCACTGGCCGTAGTTTGCCAAACCTTAATTTAGAGTAACGTCTAAGCACTCCCACTGCCTCCGGGGCCTGCAAGACCCAACCCCCGAGACTTCACCTTCCGGTCCCCCTCTTCCCAGCCTCCCTGGCCCCTGAAACCACCTCCTCAGAGCAGCCCTCCCTAATTGCTCCCCACCAGCCAGCCACTGCCCCATTTTGCTTCTAGAACCGGTCGCTCTCTGGAATTATTCCCGGTCAAGTCTTCCCCGACAACATGAGCTCTTTAAGGTGGAATATGATCTCTGAACATTTATGGAACCTGCAAACAAAGTATCCTGTGTCCTCCCTTCGTCTGTTGGAGGAAAGCCCGGGAACCCCATTCTTGCCGAGAACAGGTGCCAGGCACACACTAGGTACTCAGCAAACCTCCAGGGGGCAAAATATTTAGGAAGCAGAGTCCCCAACACTCAGTCACGTCTGAACACCAAGTGCCGGGCTGTGTCCTGTGGCCTTACCTCCAGTGTCTTCTGTCGGTCTATGGGCTCTCTCATGGGGGACTCTGTGACCATCACTGGGAAGTCCTCATGCTCCCGCCTGTGTCTCTCCAGGACAAACGACCAGATGTGCTCCACGCCCTCCCAGTTGAGGATGCGGCCGCGCTGGATGGGGTAGCTAAAGGTATCGGGATGGCAAATGTCGATGCCCAGACTCACGCGCCTTTGGGCATAGCTGGGCCCAGGGTTCTCTCTGCACGGGATATAGTTCACGATGCTCGGGAAGACCATCTGGGGCTCATTCCACCCAGAAAAGCCAGCCTTCAGAAAGCCAGACCCGTGGTCGATGATAATGGTTCTTGCAGCCATGGCGAAGACAGAGGTGGGCGAGGGCTTCTGGACTTGGCTGTGGAGGGAGAAGACAGGGCCGGTTATTTCCCATTCTCCACCCAAGAATCAAACCCCTATGTTTGATGTTACCCTAGAGTGTGTCCATCGCCCCCTCCCCAAGCCTTTGTGCAAGCTGTGCCTGCAGTGTTCCCCCCATCCTTAACTCCTCATCATCCTACAAGGCCCTCTGGAAGTCGTGCCAAGCCCTCCTTCCCACCGACTTCACACAGGAAGCACTTGATGGCTCTGGCTGCCCGACCTAAGGACTCGGGGACATCAGTCTCGGGAGCCACCGCCCTCCACGATAATAGTATAGGAGCAACAGCAGCACGAGCAGTGGCAACCACAGTGACAATGACGATGACAATGAGGACCAGCGGAGCTACCGTTTCCGAGGCACACGCCCCCCGTCTAGCGCTAGGAGGAACACCTTGCACGGGAGGCTGAACTATGTAACACTGCCATTCGTGCTGGTCAAAAAAAAATTCATTCAACAGCAGTTTAACATGGCTTGAGCTGGTGATCGTTTCATCTTTACCACAACCTGTAAGGCAGGTCCCACTGCTGTCCCCATGTTGCAGGTGGAGAAACTGAGGCATAGGGGGGCGGTGGCTTGAAGTTACTTTCCCAGGGCCACACAACTGACAAGCAGGGCTGACAATTATACCCAAAGTAGATTCCAAAGACTCTGAGCATCAGGCTAAGCATGAGGAATGGGTTTTGAGCAGGTGGTAGGCAGCTAGGTTATTACATAAGAGAGACTGTACATGGGACATCTGAGCATGACCACGGTTCGTTTCAACCCCCATAAAGTGGGTAGAATCATAACCACTGGGAAGTTATGCTGGGAAGGTAGGTGTGGTCCCTACCCGGTTTCCAGACTTTTTACAAAACTATGGTAGCCAAGACAATGGGGCGTTGGTGAAAGATTAGTCACAGAGACACGGGACAGAATGAAGAGTCCAGGAGTCCAGACAGAGACCCTCACAAAGTCTGACAAGGTGCAAGAACACAGAAAGGGAGGATGAACCGTCTTTACGATAAACGGTAGGGAACAACTGGTATCTACATGCAAAAAAAAAAAAAAAAAAAAAAAAGAACCTCAACCCATACCTCAAAAAACTCAAAATGGATCATAGATCTAAACATAAAACCTAAAAGTATGATACAGCTCTGAAAAGAAACAGAGGAGAAGTTCACTGTGACCTTAGACAAAGTAGAATTTCCGTACGTAGAATATCATTAGCCTGGTTCGCAAAAGTACAAAATGATAAGCTGGACTTTGCCAAAATTTAAGAAATTTGCCCTTTGAAAGACACAGTGATGGGAACAAAAGGACAAGCCACGGACTGCGTGGAAAGTATTTGCAAATCATATACCTGAGAAGCAGCTTGCGTCCGAAAACTATAACGCACTCACAAAGTGCGGCATGAGAAAAACGATCCAATCGTTCCGGCGGGCAAAGATGCAAACATGTCACAAAAGGAGATATACGGATGGCACGTAAACATAGGAAAAGATGCCGAACTCATGAGTCATTAGGAAAATGAACATTAAAACCACAGTGAGACGGTGTCGCACGGCTCCGAGAACACCCAAGGCCAGAGGCGGCCCCGACGCTGTCGAAGAGGAGGTGCACCTGAAGTCCCCGCGTGCTCCCGGTGGGAAGGCAAAATAACATACTTTGGAAAACAGTTTGGCAGCTTCTTATATAAAGGTAAATATCCACCCACCGGACCTAGGATTGCCACTCCTAGGGATTCCCCAAGGGAAACGAAAACTTACGTTCACCCCCAAAACCCTTATGCCCACGTTTATAGTCGCTTTATTCATAATCGTCAAAACCTGGCAGCCACCTGAAGATCCTCCGGCTGGAGAATGGATACACAAGTCTCCATCCGATGGCGTAATAGCCACAAACAGGAACGAACAAGTGATACCTGTAATAACATGAATAAATCTCAAATGTACCGAGGGAAGGAAGCCGGACTGAGAAGGCAGCAACTGTACGATTCGATTCCCATAACAATTCTGGAAAAGGCAAATGTATAAAGACAGGAAACAGATCCGTGGGTGCCAGCGGCTGGAAGCAGAGAGATGGGGGTAGGGGTGGCCATGAGGGGTCATGGCGGGATTTGGGGTGATGACGGCTCTGGGCTAGGTCTGGGTTGTGAGGGTGAGTGAGCATGTGACTGTGTGAGCGACTATACACTAAGAAGAATGACTTTTACTCTAAGTAAAAAATGTTAAGGGGAAAAAAACCCCGTGGGTGGGGGGACACATGAAAGTTGATGAAGTCACCCTGCAGAATATGAACTGTCACACAGACAGCAGACTCGGTGCCTAGAAGGCACGTGGGCGTTTCCTGTAAGAGACATCCAGGAAGGTGGTTGGCCCGAAGGTTATTTCTGGGGCTGTCATCCCACCGGCTCTAGACTCTGCCTCAGTCCTAGGCAGCAGCTGTACTGCACATCTCTATGGAGCAGGACGGCCACTGCCTGGCCCCTGGCCAGTGGTTCCCCACCACCACCAACCTTGGGGCAGTGACGAGGCTCCACCACCTTGAAATAGCTCTGACATCAGATGGGGGAAAGCAAAAAGGAGGAGAGATGGAGCTGGGGTGTTGGCCTCCCTGGCACGCTGGCGGGCTGAGTGACAGATTCTTCACACCGAATCACCCAGTGATGCAGAACCAGGTGCACTGACCTCCCCGTGTCACAAGAGCGGGCTAGCTGATGAAGGCTTCACTGGTCCTGGCATTCGGAGTCAGAGGACAGGCTGGTAGGATGACCTCCACTGTGGTTGTGCATCTACTGAGGGGCAACTCCAGGCCGGTGGCCCGCATGACCTGGCCTGGGAGCAGAAGGCGGGGAGGCAGTGTACCATTCCTCTCCTGGGTCATGACGTGGGAAGAAAGTCTGGGTGACACCCAGGAGCCCAGCTCTGAGGACAGAGATAGAACGTATGTCTTCAGAAGCATTTTTACTGAGTCACCTGTTCTACGAATTTGGACAGAGTACCAAGAACGATTCTAGACTGAGAAAGATTGTCAGTAAGCACCAGATCGACTGTCTCATGCCAGGGAAGGAGAGGGAGAATCCGTGCAGTGAAGAAAAATAAAATCAGGTGAGAGGGACAGGGAATTAGGAGCACAGAGGTGTGCTGGTGTTCTAGGTGGGGCAGTCAGGAGAGGCCTCTCTATAGGTGACATTTGAGCAGAGAACAAGCGTGAGAGAATAAAGCATGTGATTACCTGGGAAAGTGTCTAAGCCAAAAGAAGAGCAAGTGCAAAGGCCCTGGGGAAGAAATTGGTGCATGTGTTCTAGGAATAACCAGTAGACTGGGGATGGATGGAGCGGGTGGGAAAGGGTGCTGAAGATTGTGGGTGGGCCTTGCAGGCCTTCATATTGTTTAGAGACACGGGAAACCACTGCAGGGGTTGAACAGAGGAATGACATGATCTGACTCAAGTCGTACACATACCACTTGGGCTGATATGAAGAACAGACTGCAAGAGGTCAAGGTAGAGGCAGGGGATGGAAAGGACAGGTGATGGTGGCAGGAGGAAAGAGGATGGGACATGGTCGAACCCTAGATGTATTTAGGAAAGACGGTTACAGTGGAGCGTGAGACCAGGAGAAGAATGAAGGGGAACACCCAGATCTGAAGCCTGAAAAGCTGGAAGAATGAAGCATCCTCTTACTGAGATGGAGAAGACTGGAGAATGAGCAGGTTTGGGGCAGGGAAGAAATCGGGACTTGTATGTTGGACGTGATAAAGTTTGCAATGCCTATTAGGTACGCATGAATGACGATATCTGGAGGCAGAGTCTGCAGATGTCTGAGCTGAAGATATAATTGGAACTTACTGAGTGGATGAAATTACAAGTTTTGGGGATGGAGGAACTCATGAAGACACTCGGGGTAGATCAAGCCCGACGGCTGTGGGTAATTTAAGGTCTAGAGGCTGGGCATTGAGAAGGAACCAGTAAAGGGGATGAAAAGGAGTGGCTAAGGGGTAGGAGGGCATCTCAGAGCCCAAGCGGAAAAATTCGTCAAGAAGAGAGAAATTAGATGAAGACTGAGAAATATCCGTGGAATTTAGCAACACGGAAATCACCAGTAGCTTTGGCAAAAGAGTTTCCTCAGAGTGTTACTAATGGAGAAAAGCCTGAGGGATGGGAGACAGAGATTCTACAAAACTAGCCCCCACTCTGCAAAAACATCAGCAGTGTCCATAACAAAAAGGAACATTAAGTGTTCAAAATTCACGGACAGGGTCACCAACACGATGTACATTTTCTGATCCTGGATCAGAGAAATAAAATTACCAAAAAAAACGTTATTGTGGGCTTCTTCTGGTGCTGGTCAGCAGAGAGTACCGCAGCCCTGCCTCCCGCCGAATATAACTAATAATGTCAGACAAAATGCAAAAAGCAAAAGAAAAAGCAGAACAAGCAGATTAAGGAGAAGAATCAAAACTTAGAGAAGCAACCCACAGAGGGATGAGGTTCTCGTCTATTTCCCTTTTTCTTTTGCAGTGTCGGCCTGAGGCAGGTTCCCAGCAGACCTTCGGGAGTGGGTAGCTGAAAAATAAGAGCAAGGAAGACCTGTTTTTCTGGACAGAACATCAGGAAAGGGGGCCCTTGTAAGTCAAAGAGCATGGAAAGAAGAAAGCAGAGAAGGGGCTCCCCTCATTCTGTGTAAGAACCGGCTCAAGGCCCAGACTCGCCTGTGCCTGGGAGGGACTGACCCAAAGCAGTAAAGTGAACACTGGAACCACCACCCACGGAGGAAAACCAAGTACAGTGTGAGCTGGGCTGCTGCACGCTAAAACAGAACCAATGAAAACAAGAGTTCCCCAGAGGGATTTCGCTGCAGAATATTCAGGATATCCAGCATAGAAACCAAAATTACTGAATTACACAGAGAATCAGAGAAACCTAACTAATCCTTCAGGGAAAAAGATAAACATGCCAA